GTGAAAAAGCTTTTTACATTGGTCTTTGCAATGAATTAATGGGTATAATACCTAAAGAAAAAACAATAAAATAAAAATAAACAAATGGGACAACATCAAACTAAAAAGCTTCTGCACAGCAAAAGAAATGATCAACAGATTGTAAGGAAAACCTATGTGATGAGAAAAAATAATTGCAAACCACATATCTGATAAAAAAAAATCCAAAATATAAGTATCTCATACAACTCAATAGGAAAAAAAATAAGTAATCCAATTTTTAAAAGGTGAACAGGGCCTGAATAGACATTTTACCAAAGAAGGCATTCAGATGGCCAACAGGTACATGAAAATTTGCTCAGCATCACTAATTGTCAGGGAAATGCAAATGAAAACTACAATGAGATATCTCACATGCTAGAATGAAAAAGACAAGCGATAAATGCTGGCATGGATATGGAGGAAAGGGAATCATTGTATACTGTTGTTAGGCATGTAAATTGTTACACATACTAGGGAAAACAGTTTGGAGGTTTTCAAAGAACTAAAAATAGGACTACAATATGATTCAGCAATTCTATTTCTGGGACTATAGCTAAAGGAAATGAAATTACTATTGACAAGAGATATCTGCACCCCAATATTCACTGTATCATTATTTATAATAACCAAGATATTGAAACAAAGTAAATGTCTACAGAGAGATGAATGGACAAAGAAAATGTGGTCTATATACACAATGCAGCCAGAAAAAGTTAATCCTGCCATTTCTGACATAATGGATGAATCTTGAGGACCTTAAGCTAAGTGAAATAATTCAGACCAAGACAAATTCTGTTTAATCTCACCTATGCATGAACTCTAAAAAAGCCTAACTCCTAGAAAAAGAGAGTAGATTGGTGGTTTCCTCGGGCAAGAAGGAGGGGGAAATGGACAAAGTTGGTCAAAAGGTATAAACCTTCACCCATAACAACTTTTCAGGATCTAGTGTATAGCATTATGTACATTATACTACACTATATTTAGTTATACATAGTTATACAACTACCATCATAGTGTAGTACTATACTATAGAATGGTGGCCATAGTTAACAATGCTGTATTATATATTTGAAAGTTGCTAAGAGAGGAGATCTTAAAAGTTCTAACCACAAATGAAATATGGTAACAATGAGATGACTGATATGTTAACTAACTGTATTTTGCTAATCATTCTATAATACATATGTATAACAAATAATCGCATTAAACTTACAAAAATGCTATGTTAAATGTACATCAATAAAGGTGGAAAAAAGAACACAACTTATATTGTCCATTTGAAATATATGTTTTCCCAAACTCATCCATTTTCCAGTAAGTATGAGTATGTAATCTTGACAATAAATGTTTACGGAACAATATCAAATTTTTATGTTGTCACAGGTACTGAGGTTTGTGCAAGAGAAAGACATTGTTCTGAGGATATATACACTGAAGTATTTACAGGTAAAGAAGCATGATGTCTGCAAGTTACTCTCAAATAGTTCAGACAGATGAAATGGGAGAAGGAGAAAGAAAGGGGAGAGAGGAAGAGGGGGAGGAAAGGGAAGCAGGTGGGGGAGGAGAAAAGGAAAAAAGGGAAGGGAGCAGGGAGTGGAATGATAAAGAAAGATATAGAAATAGAGAATGATAAAGCATGGCAATGTGTTAATTGGTGAATCTGGGGAAAGAGTATATGGTAGTTTGTTGTAATATTCTTACAAATTTTCTTTAAGTGTAGAATTAGATCAAAATAAAAAGGTTTAAAAACATAAGCATAAATATCAGTAATAATTCCACCATCAAATAATATCACTCTTTTCCTATGTATTTAATTAAACAAAAAGTTTTATATTTTTAAAATCTATTGGGATGAAGAGCCAGTGTATAATTTTGGTTTTTATTTCCTGAAAGGTAAAAAAAAACATTAAACAGCAGAAAATAAGATGTTCATCTATAATTGAACTAATGATTTCACAATATGATTTTTAAAAAGACACATGTTTGTAAATTTAAAAAAAACAAATAACTCATGAGTCTAAAAGAAATCATGAGAAAAAAATAATAATGCAGACAACTGTCTGCAACAACTTTAACAATAAAATAATATTTTAAAAAATAATTAAATGAAAATAAGTTACTACATATAAAAACCTGTGAAATTCTTCTAAAGTGGTACATAGTGAAAAATTTATAGTCATAAATTATTTTAGAAAAGAAAATTGAAAATGACTGAGCTAAAGGTTCAAATAAATAAATTGGAAGAAGAGGAAACAGAAAGTAAAGGAAACAGATAAAACCAAAAATTACTAAAATAAAAAACAAAATATTCAATTGTAAGATCTACTGAAACCAAAACCAGGAGATGTTATTAAAAATTTAGTATCATAATTTATCATTTGTCATGCTGTCATATTAATTAAGAAAAAAACATATAATCATGGCAATAAATATTTACAAAGTATCTGGAGAAAAAAACTCCATACGCATTCACAAGAAAAACTCTCAGCAAGTTAATAGAAGGGAACTTCCTTAAGATGAAAAATGAAATCTACTAAAAATAATGAAACATTTGTAAAACTCCCTTGTAAATTCAGTACCAAAACAAGGAAATCCTCTATCACTTCTACTAATTTTTGTTGTACTGAAGATCATAGCTAGTACAGAAAACAAGCTAAAAATTTTCTAAACATATTGGATGAGCAAAAAATATTGGACAGAAAGAATTTGCCATTATTCCCAATATAATTAACAGAGAATCCATAAATCATCAGAATAAATAGAATTAAGATAGGTTGCAGCATGTAAAATCAGTATGTAAATATACCAATCATGTTCCCATTTACCAGAAATAATCAGAAAATGTGATTTAAAATATACTTTTCATAGTAACAACAGAAACTATAAAGTAATAAGGACTTAATCTAACAAAACAGATTATAGGTAACATTGTTACGTGGTATATATGGTTTCATATAGCATAGAAAATGGTTTCAATTTTATCATTTGGTAATAGATTTTGGGTTTTTGTTTGGCTAGTCATTTGTAATGTCAAAATTAATTTAATGTCATAATCAACTCTTATTTTTCTTCTCCCCTTAATTTTTGGTAAAGACATTACCTTAAAAATCACAACTTCCCAGTGCAGGACAACAGGAAAAGCAGGGTAGCATTGTCAATAATCTTGGTTGTCTTCACTGAATAAACTATGTTACGAATGCACCAAAAAAATGGAGTCATACTGCAATCCCTCAAAGACTGAAAAATAATAAATAAGGTAAAATAATTTTTCTGTTACTGTTTATCTCTTCCCCTGGCCTTCTCAAGTCCTTATGCTCCACCATTCTCCCATTTCAATTATGATTCATGGAAAAGAGTTATAAGCATATATATTACATTAGAGTTTATTGCTTGGCTAAGCATAGACTATGGAAGCCCTTTAGAATAGTATCTGGCACATAAAAATGTTCAGTAAGTATTTATTATTATTACAATTTTCAATAATTTGAACCACTGGAGGAAATTATGTAGCTCTTGCACTTTTTGGCCTATATTACCTCCTTTGTTTTCTATCTGAGCACTGCTATTCCTATACTCTCTTACCCACCACCACTACCTGTTTGGATATAGAACTAAAGTTGAGGGAATTCAGGCTGTAAGGAATGATCTAACAGTAATTTCAAGTGAACTAGAGCTCTTTCATTTTCTATGCAATACAACCAAGCCCTAAATTCAGAACACCCTTAGTTGTCACTGTTGTCCTATCATTCATTTATTTATTCAAATATCTGTTTCACTCCTACTATGTAGCAGGCACTATGCCTTGGTCATCATCCCTTCTAGCTGCCAGCACAATGCCTAGTCCATTGCAAGGGCTTCACAGAGAGGTTAATTGCATAAATGAAGAAAGTAAAAGCCCTGTCTCCTTTGGATTACAAAGATCTGTGAAGCTTACATCAGATTTGGTTTTATTTTTTGCATTCTATAAGCTCATGTAAACAGAAGATTTGTTTCTCTGACAGTAAAATAGTAGACTCCTAAAATACATCACTTGCTTGAAAATCATCAATGGTTTCCATGCTTACAGATGAAACTGCATACTCCTTAGCATAATATTTAGGGCCCTACAATATTTTGTTTCACCTCATAGTCCTTCTCATAGATTTCAGAGTTATAGCTAACCTGTTCCCAGAACAAACCTGTCTTGGGGCTTTTGTTCTCAAAACATGAGGCCTGAAAAACATTCTTTCCCCTTTCACAAGGCAGATGTCACTCACCCTTTAAGGCTCACCCAAATTTCCCTTTTCCTCTCTGAAAGTTCATGATTACTACCAGGCAGAATGACTGGGTCCATCCTAGGTTGCTTCCTGAATACCTTGAACAAGCAAACATTATGGCACTTCGGTTTAACTCATCATATTGTAACTTCGTTTTTACTTATAATTTCTCCCACCATACACAGGGAAATGATCACATAATTCTATAGCTCACTTTATAAATACATTATGTTAGCACAGTGCTAGGCAGGGGAATTAGGCCTTGAATACATTGTCATTACTCATCTTAAAGCATTTTTAAACTGAAAGTTTCAAATGTACACAAGAGTAGTGAGAACATTAGAAGGTGTTATAAGGGGATTCATTTTATGAATCCCCATAAATACATCGCCTACCTTTCATAATTATCAACTTATGAACCTTTTGTTTCTAACCCCCACCTCAACCCCACTAAATTACAGTACTTTCAACCATAACATTTTAAGCCTACCTCTTAATATAACCCACAATTATCACAACTAACATAATAAAAATAATTAATATCATCAAATATCCAAAATTTCACCCAAGCATATTTTGTGGAAGAATGATTTAATGCCTCCATATTCTTTCTTCAATTTTAAAATCGTAGAGAGATCAGGAAAAGCGGGAAGGCGATATATGAAACACGTAATTAACTGCCAGAGAGCCAGAATGTCCCAGATGAGAGAGGAGGAATCTGACCTGGCTTAGGGTGGGAGAAGTATAGTCTACTACTTCTCCGGAGGAGGAGGGTGCGACTTCAGGCCGGGTGATGCAGGAGGAGGTGCGGAGGGGAGAGGGGTACTACCTCCGTTGGGGGTCCCTTCCGGATAATCCCACCGTGGAGCTAGGAGGCAGCGCTTTTTCGGAGGCTTGATTTCCCGCGTGTTTCCAGGTGGGAGCGTAGATCTCCCGGAGGTGCAAGGTTGGTCCCCCATAAGGATTACAGGACCTGGACGTCAGTTTTCTGTGGTGGGCCCTAGCGAGGGAAAGAGACCTGAGATGGCGCCGGGTCCCCTCCAGACACAGAGCTTCCTCCGGGTTTCTCTCTTACCGTATTTCCTGTATCCTGAGACGTATATCCCCTCTCTGCCTCCGCCCCAGCTCCTTACCCTACCCCATTTTAACGTTTCTATGAGGATGGGTCTTAAACGACGCGTTTATATAATATAATGTTTTTCCATCATTTCTCCCCATAGTGTAACTAAATCTATGGGCTGTCTTATACAATCTATGCCTGTAAACTTTGTGTGCGTTGTAACGCGGCGTGGAGTGTGAGGGGCTAGGGGAGGGAACAAAGAAATTATTGAAGAGCTAAGTGCTTTAACATCAAGTTGCAGATGCAAAATACAAAGCTATGGAACTACTTCCGAACGTTTATAAAACAATACACAAACGTGTTAGTTGACTCAAGTGCAGAATAGCATGCTAACATTGACCTTGGAAATTGAATGTGGGCAATAAGTTTACCCTATGTCACAGAATTTAATATTACGTTTTTCTTCATATTGTAACAGATTAGAAACTTCTGAAGACTTACCTTTTAAAAACATTTCGATATCCACGAAATCTTGTAGAATTCATGGTATGTCATGCTTTAATTGGTAATGTTTATTTTGTCCTAGAGTTATAGAAAATAATGATTCATCTCCATATCACAAGCATTTTATACTCTAGTATCTGGTAAGTAACTAGGAGAGGGTACAAATTGGCTTAGAAGAAAAGGCCACTGGAACTTCACCATTCACACCCATCTCCCTTAGGCTATGGACAAACTACGCCACACATTTCCAGCACTGTCCTTAATTTTTTAAATAGTTCATCATATTGTATTTGCCATTACCATTTATCCCCCTATATCCTCTTCCACCTCTACCCACACTCTCCCTCCCCAATCACCACAATGAGTTTTTTCTCTTTTTTGCTGGGTCCCTCCACACCTCCACCACCCCCTCCAGCCTGCTCTTTATCTATGAGTCTGTCTCTATTTTGCTTGTTAGGTCAGTTTGTTCCTTAGATCCCACATATGAATGAAACCATATGGTATTTGTCTTTCTCTGACTGGCTTATTTCACTTAGCATAATGTTTTCCAAATCCATCCATGCTGTCACAAAGGGTAAAAGTTTCTTCTTTTCTATAGCTGAATAGTATTCCATTGTGTAAATGTCCCATAGTTGTGTTATACACTCATCTACTGATGGACACTTGGGCTGCTTCCATACTTTGGCAATTGTAAATAATGCTTCAATGAACATAGCGGTGCTTATGTTCTTTCAAATTAGTGTTTTGGGTTTTGGGGATAAATTCCCAGAAATGGAATAGCTGGGTTGTAAGTGTACTCATTTTTTTTTATTTTAAAAATGGAGATAGTTCAATCCTTAATATAAAAATATAACTGACTTTCAAAATCTTCTGCTAAATGCAAGCTTTGTGATATTTAAGTAGTTGATTAAACACTTTGAGCTTTAGCTTCCAGGTGATAATTTTTTTGCAGAAATATCGCCATAATCATAGATATGCAATTAAAGTGCTTATTAACCATGATTGCCTCTCATCTCCACCATCACTACTTTCCTCCAAGTAACAGCACAGCCTTTTTTGCAAACTACATACTCAGAAAATGTTTGGAATATAAATGACCCTGTGGTTTTCTATCAGATGCCACTAATAAAGACAGGAAATGTAGCAGTAGGTTAATAGAAATGTGTGATGGGGAAATCAGAAGGAACAAGATTCTAGGGCTAGAAGAGTGGTTGGGACTAGACATATAGATGTGGGAATCAGTAACATAGATGTGGTGGTTGAAGTTATGGGAAAGGATTACATCCCCAAAAGAATATAGAGAAAAGAGAAGCGGGCTAAAGACAGAATTGTGAGTGATAGAGAAAGAACAGAAGCCTGCTACAAAGGCTAAAAAAGGCCAAAGTCAGAGGAAATAACTCTAAACCATGGTTTCTCATTCTTGACGTTATTGACATTTGAGGCCAGATCATTCTTGGGAGAGAGAGGGAACTGTCTGTGCAATGAGGATATTTAGCAGTGTTACAATCCAGGACAACTTGTTACAACAAGTGTTACAACACTTGTTCCTTTTCTCGTGTTTTTCATCTCAGTGAATGTCATGCTTTCAACCCAATAGATGTCAAAACTTGGAGTCTTTATTTTTTATATTGCAAAATATTTTAATATTTCCCAAAGTAAATTAAGAGGAATTTTTACAGTCTTTTCCATGGGTCTCTAAATCTGCAAGACTAAAAAACTTTAAAAGTTGAAATGAAGTTGTTTTTTAACTGTAGTTTAAGTAAATTAAGAGAAATGTGCCCATTTAGTGAGACGGGAATTAAACATTATATCAAATCTAGGTGACTTTGATTTATCATAAACATTTGACTTGAGGTGAAAACAGTCTCAACTTAGAGCTGCTGCCATCAACCTGGACTCTTTCTATTTCAACTGGATTTATCTATTTTTAGTTGTGATAAAATGCATATAGCAAAATTTACCACCTTAAAAATTTTAGTGTACAGTTTAATAGTGTTCAGTATATTGTCAGTGTTGTGCAAATATACCTCCAGAAATTTTTCATACACATTACACATACCTTTCCATTTTCCCCTTTCCAGTCCTTGGGAACTACCATTATACTCACAACTGGATTTTGTTTGTTTATTTTTGTCATACCAAAATTAAAAACTAAGGCCTTTTATTTCTAGGTTTCAAAATAATTTTTCCCAATCACCTTTCTCAAGTTAAGCTTTTCCTTTTCTCAATATTGATGAATTAGCTGAATGTGAATCATAGAACCACCAGAAGAGGGCACTCTTAGATTGAAGAACTAGATTTGAAAACTGCTGTAGATATGAATTTCTTTCATAATTTAAAGTGCCCAAAGAGAGAAAGAAAACAAAGAATGAAACTGAACCCACCTCTCAGTGATAGTTTTCACTTAAGACTTTTGTTTTGTTTTGTTTTGTTTTTAATTGAGATGTTGGTTGATTCATTGTGCTTTCTTTTACAAGTGAGTTTTCATTTTGAGGCCAAGAATTTTCCTCTTCTATGTAGAAATGTAAAGAATTTCTCTGTTAATTGGCTTTTATGTATATATATAAGGACAAGAATTAGGGTATTTCTGTAACATTCTTATTAAATGAGAGATGAGAATGATTTGGAGTGAGAGTACACGTTTTTTTTTGTTTTATTTTAGGTCTTAATGTATTATTTAACTATTAATTTTTAAGAATTCTATGAAGTATTCACAGTTTTTGTACTTAGTTTTTTGTTTTATTTTGTTTCTAACTTAACAATGCAGCCTGACATATTTTCCCGATAAAACATTCTTTCTTCTCATTTTAAAATTTAGCCCTTCCTGGTGTGGCTCAATGGATTGAGTGCCAGCCTGCAACCAAACAGTTGCCTGTTCAATTTCCAGTCAGGGCATATGCCTGGGTTGTAGGCCTGGCCAGAGGGCATGAGGCAGGCAATCACACATTGACGTTTCCCTCCCTCTCTTTCTCCCCCCACTTCCTCTCTCTAAACATAAATAAATAAAATCTTTTTTAAAATGTAAAGGCTGTACACAATCCTAATTATTATAATTTTTTCTTTAACTAATTGTCAATGGATGGATGTTTGTCAACACTTTGGTTGTTTCAAGTTTTTTTTTAAATTTCAAATGAATCTACATAGCATAAATTTGCCCTTTTATTGTATACAATTCAGTATTGTAAGTATATTTACAAAACTGTACATCTATCACCACTAATACTAGAATATTTTCATCACTCCCATTAAGAAAGTATGTTCCTATTACTAGTCACTCCCAATCCTTCATCCCCACAGCCCACTGGAAACACTAATCTGTTTTTTGTCTCCATAAATTTGTCTATTTGGATATTTCATATAAGTAGAAACATACAATATATGGTCTTGTGTGTGGTTTATTTCATTTACCATAATATTGGATTGGCCAACAAGTCTGTTTAGTTTTTCCTGTAAAATAAAAGACACATTTTTCATTTCCACCAATAACTTTATTGATTTTGGATATTTTGAGTATGTTGGCTATCTCCTGCGTGGCATAACATTGATAGTACTCAATGTCTCGATATGATCGCTATCAACTTCAACTGATCTACCTGACTATGGAGCATCATCATCCAGCAAGAAATCTCCAGCACAAAACTTTGCAAACCACTTTTGACACATTCGATCAGTCATAGCCCCTTCTCCATACTCTGCACAAATTTTTTTTTGCATTTCAGTTGTGTTTTTACCTTTCTTGAAATAATAAAGCACAATATGCTGAACATATTGCTTCTTTTCTTTCATTTCAATGTTAAAAATGGCTACATGAAAACTCGCCACTTTTGATGTTTTTTTAAAATGCATCCTAATGTGACAGCTGTCACAATACAATCTAACAAAATTATTTCAAATGAAGTTAAAGACAACTAACTAAACCCTATTAGAGCCATCTTATGGAAAAAAAAACCGAACTTTTTGGACAACCCAATATTTTTCAGGATTCGTGATGTTATACCATGTATCAGTGCTTCATTCCTTTTATTTATTTGTTTGTTTATTTATTTGTTTATCTTTTAATCCTCACCCAAGGATATGTTTATTGATTTTAGAGAGTGAGAGAAAGACAAAGAGAGAGAGAGAGAAAGTGAAACATCAGATTGGTTGCCTCCTATATGTGCTGCCACAGTGGGGGGCAGGGAGGGGATCAAATCCACAACCTAAAGTAGGTGCTCTGACTGGGAATGGAAACTGCAACCCTCCTGCGCACAGTATGATGCTCCAACCAACTAAGCCACCCAACCAGGGCTCCTTATTTATTTTTATTGTAATAAAACATACATAACATAAAATGTGCTGTCTTTTTATTTTAATGAGATAAAGATTGCCATCTTAACCATTTAAAGTGGAGACTTCAGTAGTGTTAACTACAGTCACACTGTTTTTCAACCAATCTCCAAAACTCTTTTCATCTTATAAAACTTAATTGCTATATTCATTAAACAACA